CCGCCTCTTCCAGCCCCGACAATCTTTCTCCACAACCGGTCTTCTTTATAAAGGCCTTTATTTGACTTAATAGCAAACGAAACACGAGTTTAAATCGAGTGTACGTAGTACACCGTTTACAGCGACGAAGCGGCAACACGTTTAGACGCGACCTACCTCTCCCTCCCGCCCGCCGCCGGGCCGAGCCGGGGGTTTTTACCATTGCCGGTTTAGCGGGCGCCGTTAAGCACAGACGTTATTCGGAGGATAAAAACCAAGAGGTCAAAGGTGGATGAGACGTTACGGAAGCAGAAATAAAACGAACGAGGGAGAATCCGCAAAAAAAAAAAATAAAAGAGGCTCTCCTGAAGTCAGGGGAGTAGGGGGGGGGTTAAGGTCGTGTGTTAGACGCTGAGGAACCGGCCGTTAAAATGGCTACGCGGAGTTAGGTCTGTCTTCCTAAAGGATGCCTTTAATGTTGTCGATGTGAGACAAGCCGGCTGAGTATCCTAAACGACTCGCTGCGGGCAGGGGACGGGTTGGGGCAGACCCGGGGACACGGGCAGGCGGGGAAGGGCCGGAAAAAAACAAACCCCCCATCAAAGGGAAAACGAAGAGAGAGGGGGGAGAGAGGGGGGGGAAAAAAAAAAAGAAAAAAAAAAAAAAGTCCACGACAAGACAGAAAATCCCGCTCGGTGCATCCCTGCTCCCGGAACCGGGGTGGGGGCTCCTGCGCGTCCCGAGCAAACTCCTCCTCCGCCAGCGCCTCGGTAAGAGCTCCGGGGACCCTTCGACGCCTCCGTCTTCGCCTCCGCCTCTCCCTCGAGAAAACCTCGGACACCACGACAAGACAGAAAATCCCGCTCGGTGCATCCCTGCTCCCGGAACCGGGGTGGGGGCTCCTGCGCGTCCCGAGCAAACTCCTCCTCCGCCAGCGCCTCGGTAAGAGCTCCGGGGACCCTTCGACGCCTCCGTCTTCGCCTCCGCCTCTCCCTCGAGAAAACCTCGGACACCGTTTTATAGACACCGTCACTTGAATTCAAGAGAAGAGGCGGCGGCGGCGGCGGTGGGGGAAAAACCA